TTTCATTCCACAACCATTTAGAGTCAATTATTCTTATAATTTAGACTTTTTGTGGTGAGATTAAGTGTGAATTCTTCTCAAGAGTTGTTGGAGAAGGAGAAAGTGAGAGATTTCTTCTTCCTACATTTCCTAGGTGAGGCTACAAGGGATATGCTTTGAGAAAGAATTACAGATAAGTGTTGTTTGTTTAATAATGTTGTATGAACTTTCTTTTATATATGAAATTTGTTATTTTGTTGTATTTTTCTCATGAAGTCTAAATAGTTTCCTTTATCTTTCTCCCTACTTTGAGATATGGTGAAATGAAGAGATAATACAGATGTTCTAATGTTAAAATACAAAATAAATTGTGATGATTTTTTAACTTCGAACTTAATTTACTTTTCGATCTGACCAATTGAATTGTTAAAATTTGTTATGAAACATATGACCTAGGAAATGAAGTATGAGTTCTACAACAGAATGATGATCACATTTAATTCCATGAAGGAAAATTTCGTTCATGGAATTAAATGCCAGTTCATGAAATTAAGAAAATTTATTCCCCATAAGCTGCCAGTCAGCTTTATCACAATGACTATCCAGACCAGGTACGATGAGCCTTATCTATCATAGAAGAAGATACCTATAGCCACTTGGTACATGTGGTTCAGGGAGTTTGAGGCATAATCATGTAATTTGAATCATATTTATAATTTTTTTAAATAACAAATGGATTATTTTCATGTTGTAGGGGTCCTTCAACTGGCTCCCAATGCACCACCATCAGATTTGTCGAATCTTTGAGATTTGGGGCAAGCATCGGCTTGCCGACATGTTGACGATAGCCTGCTAGAGGGGATATCAACTTGCCTGGATTGGTGAGTGTCTTTGGGGTCAATTGACCATGGCTTGGGCCTCTCTTGATTACGAGAGGAGGAGGTAGACGAACTGAGCGAATCAGGCAACAGAGGAAGCCAGGGGAGCTACGCTCCATATTGGTGGATCAGTCCCCCATACGGAGAACTACAAGAGGTTGGCTAGGTTTTGTTAGATATTTAAAATTAACTCAACTTTTGGAGTAATTTTTTAGTTCCATTCATTTGTATATGCTACACATGCTAAAGAGTTTAGCCGTGCTCCCTCTATTGCGGAGCTACATGTATGAACACATTAGTGCTCAAGGACTACGCAGTGTGTCTCAAAGCATTCCCTCTGAGTTGTTGTAAGTTGAAAACCTTAAATTAAAAGTTTATTTTGACTATAACTGTTGAAAGTCTTAATTAAATACTGGTTTTCATTATGTAGGAGGAGTTCGAGTAGCTTCGGCAGGGACACTTAGCCATAAATGCTGGTTTTCATTATGTAGGAGGAGTTCGAGTAGCTTCGGAAGAGACACTTAGCCACTCTAACCCAAACTGATGTCAATAATAGTGGTGGTCAGTCTACCACTACGCAGCCCAAGTATGATCTTTGAACATAGGCTGCAGTAAAGAAGATGGGGGAGGGTTTATGACATTGGATTGAAGGGCATAATCTCCGAGGCTGAGCACTCTCGTGGTCCCATTTTTCGTTCCCCGAGCTCCTCATAGCTAAACCAGAAGACTCTTATCAGACAAGTGTTTTCAATGAATGAAGAGATTCGTCAGTTGCACGAGTAGATGCTGCAAGGCCAACATAGAGTGGAGGACGTTATAGTGTGCATGTCAGAGACTTTAGCAAATAGCTGGGACAAGTAGCCGATGACATCTGCATAGGAGGAGGAGGATGGAGATGATGAGTAGTTTTTTTTTTCTTTTATTTGTAAGCATTATGTTAACATTTTTTGTAAAATTTTTTTGTTTAACTTTACTGTTCTTATTTGGAATGATTTGTAATAATATCTTCCTTTTATTAAAGATATTGTTTAGAGATTTGATATGTAATATGACTATGTTTAATGTGGTCTATGATGCATAATATGTTTGTGAGCAAGTTATGAAATATAATTGATATTCTAATTTTTTTTTGTATATTATAGGTTTTTGTTTGATTTACATTCGTTTCCAGATGCAAAACCAAACGCTACATCTACAATAATTTGTTGTTGTTGAACGATATTTTCCAATGCATATGAGACGGTGATCCGACACTAAGTTTCATAGCTAGATAATTCCAGATGCAAATTTTGACGCACATTTAGAATAAACAAATCCGACACAAAAACTGACGCAAATTATTTGTGTCAGAATATTTCGAAGTAAATTTGACAAAAATAAAATTACCGACTCTCAATTTAACGTCGAAAAAAATCAGACACAAATTCAACGATAACATTTAAATATAGCCGGATTTGCTTCTGATTTGTCTGACTCAAATATGCTAATTTTTTGTAGTGGGAGTTTCATATATCTGCAAGTTGTGATCCCATCATTGTGTGCCCCTACGATCCCAGCTAGCTCTAATTACGACTATATGGCGAGGGTTGAGCGACGAACATGACGATTTTGGACGACCCAAAGAGAGAGAGAGGAAAATGCAAGGGTTTCAAGGGGTACAGACATGATGATTTTGGACGAACCAGAGAGAGGGCGAGGGAAATGCAAGGGTTTTGAGAGGGTGGAAAAGTGTTTTAGGCAAAATAGTGAGCGAGACAGATAAGAGAAAGAAATGATGGATTTGGGTGGGGAGGATATAATAGGCTAATTACCAAGGGTTTATAAACGACTTAATCACCATCAACTTATGATATCAAAATTGACTGCCGAAGCTGTCATTTATTAAAAACAAAAGTCGGTTTCTCTCCCACAGAAAGTGACCATACTAATAATCGATGAACTATAGTTGTTGGTTAACATTCAGTGTTTAATTGACGTCATAATACATTAATAAATCCAAAACACTTGTCGAAATTTTTTTCCTGCAGAAAAGCGATGGAAAAATCTATAGTTATGTCATCATAAACTATGTAGTTGATGAACCGTTACTAAACCATTGAAACTTACCACAATATTTTCGACGCACAAAATGTTGTTGGCTTTTGCACCGATTATAAATGTTTTTCCTTCGGTTAAAATTCAAACGGTCAAAAGTTTTCGGGCGATCAAAATATCCAATAATATTTTATCTTTTTTTTTTCCGAAACATCTATATATAAACTCTTATAACTTTGTTGTCATCAGTTTGTCAGAGACTCGAGAAACTCGAAGTGTTCACATGCATCTGCATCTAAGCCAATACTCAAGAAATTCGAACTGACTAAACAAATCAAACACTCTCATACCGGGCGACCAAATCACCAACGCCAGCGTTCATCACTTAGCAACTACCATAAAGAAATAGCCCGGTAGAGTTAAAATGTTAAAACAAAGGTAAAAAATATGGAAAACTCACACTCTATTAGCATCTAGATGACAACCGACAGTGGCAGAGACTGACCTGTCACCTCATTCGGCCAGCCACCACAGCCAACCGATAGCCCACCTCTTCAGATGGACCCAACAATGAAAATATGTCAGATATACGAAAAGGTGTCATACATATGTAAAGATGTTAAAAATACAAAAAATGTGTTGAACATATGAAAAGATATCAGATACACGAAAAAATGCCGATGAAGATAACAATTTGTAACTTCTATGGGCAATAATGTAATTTTAACAATTTTATCCTCCTATCATCCAAAAATACGATGACATTTTTCATGTAAGGGAACTCATGCTATTTGGGCTTTCCAGACATTTATGTATCGTTATTTCCTTCTCTTGTAATAAATTTTTTTAGTATATAAAATGTGTTCAAGAGCACGGAGAACATCCACACACTTTACTTCGTTAGGGGTAATCAATGTGGCACTCCTTTCTTTCTATGCTCTATTCTTTCTGCATCATTTTCAAGGAAAATTTGGATTCAACACATAATTTTTTAAATTTTTAAATATCTAATATTTAAAACTTATTTATTTATTCATATAATATTTTAACGTCATAATCAAATAAAAATATGTTTGAAAATAGATTTCTCATCTCGAGATATTGATTATCAAAAATATCTTCATATAACGTTAAGAAAATTAATAAATATGAAGACTTAAACAATAAGTGTAAAAACATACAAAAGTTTACAAGCAAATGCTCATAAATATTATCTTCCTACAACCCAAATAAAATCCCACCATACATAATCACGCTTCCCTCAACATCACCTTCTCCCAACCCCCCCTCTCAACCTTCTCGCAACATAACTCAAGCCCAACTTCTCTCCTTCATCCTTCTTCCTTCTTCCTCTTTCCAGTAAATCTCTTCAAATCAAAACTTCACAATCCATCACCGCCTATCGTGAAATGGATTCCCACCTGAAGTGGGCCGAACCAGTCGTGCGTGTCCAATCCCTCTCAGAAAGTGGCGCCACTCTTCTACCCCCACGATACATCAAACCCCCCGACCAACGCCCCACCGCTATCAATCATAATGATGACTTCAACATCCCAATAATCGACCTTAGCCCCACAAGCGACGCCAAAGCGATCGCCACAGCAGTCTCGGCTGCCTGCAAGGAGTGGGGCGTTTTCCAGGCGGTAAACCATGGAGTAAGCCCAGATCTCCTGCACCGCGCTCGGAAACTATGGCGTGCATTCTTCCACCTCCCTATGAAGTCCAAGGAAGCCTACGCTAACTCTCCGAAGACATACGAAGGATACGGTAGCAGAGTCGGGATAGAGAAAGATGCCATCCTCGATTGGGGGGACTACTTCTACCTCCACTACTTCCCTTTGTGTCTCAAAAACCATGATAAATGGCTTGCCCTGCCTTCTTCGTTGAGGTATTTATTAAAAACTGTTTATAATTGACAAGCTAATATACTAGATTATTATGTTGTGCGGTTTGTGTTAGGGAGATGGTGGATGAGTACGGGAAAGCGCCGGAGTTGGCTCTCGGGCTGTCGGCGCATACGGATCACGGTGGGATTACTGTTCTTTTGCCGGATGAGAAGGTTAGTGGTTTGCAGGTCAGGCATAAAGGTGAGTGGGCTACAGTTCGGCCGGTCGCTGACGCTCTTATTGTAAACGTTGGGGATCAAGTTCAGGTATTTGTTCTCATATTCTCTTGTTAAAAGGAGTATGAACGGGCAGGAAAAGAGCAAGCACAACTCAGCTCTGTGCCGCTCGTTTATATTTGAAGGTATTCATATTCGGCTCATTTGCTTAGTGAGAGCTGTTCATGAATAAAGAATCGATTTGACATTCTTAATCATGCAGTCATAAGTCTTAAGGGTTGAAGCAAAATTTAAAAATTATTGCTTATAATAAAACATCATTTGAATCTAATTTAATAATTTTTATCCTATTTTTTTAATTAATACATTTTTTTTTGGCCCTTTCACCGATAATTATAGTCATTTTATGAAGTAGATCATACACACTTTGCCTAGAATATACCTTATAAAAAATAATTGTCCCTTGACATATCTTTCAAAGATTAGTTTTTACTAATTATTTTTTCTATCAAATAGCCCATACTTTTATTAATTTTGCTAAAAGTGTTGAGAAAGTGGAGCCTTGTCCACTGCGACTTAGGCAAGTTATTAAACCGAAAATTAAGTTTAATAACTTTCCTTAATCTCTGCTGCACGCCTAAATCTCCCGCTTCTTTCTTTCTTCGTTAAGCCGTGTGACCGCGTGAAGATCTCCACAAATATTCTCCCGCGCTCCTCCACGCGATCCCGCGTCACGATACCTGCCTTATGGGTCAAACGGAAAGCTTTTTAAAAAGGCTTCGGTTGGCAGGAGGAATAGGAAGCTGCTCTCCTTCTTTTGGCGGAGGTGTGAAGAAGAAAAGCTAATTACTTTTTCCTTTGTGAAGAAGAAAAAGCTAATTACTTTTTCCTTTTCCCAAGGCAGAAAAGCTAATTACCTTTTTCTTCCTTCATCAGGTGGCAAGAAAACAAAAAGTCTTTTTTGTTTTTCTTTTTCACGTGGGCTGGGAAGGGAGAGAGGAATTTAGAGAGAGATAACTCTTTTATTTAAACATTAAAAAGACGACGGTGTAATTCCTTGAAGCTAATAAAATCCTCTGCAGCTCCGTGGACGTAGGCAAATTTGTCGAACCACGTAAATCTAGTGTCACATTTTCTGGTGTAACTTCTCGATCCATTTTTCATTTTGTTGTCTTCGTTCATTATTTTTATTAACAATTGGTATCAAAGCCCCGGTTCGGATCTG